AGGTGGCGGGCAAGGACAGGAACAGCCAAAGCAAAGGTGTGAGCTCATGCTCTCAGTGACTCCTGACTCGCACACCGATGATAGCCGTAGATGGTTGTCAGTGGTGAGCAGAAACAAGAGCTGCACCCCAGCGGGGTGACAGTGCTGCCAAAAGCAGTGGTTCCAGCTCCCTGTGTCCATTGGGCCCCTACCACCAGGACGGAGTCGGGGACCGGGTGCTCACCGGTGGTTTTTGCCCATGACCCTCACATGATAAAATGGAACAGGAAATGATGTTTGTGGAGCCAGGAGCACCTGTCAGTGGGCATGGAGCAGATTTGGGGTGGCATTGGTGTCTCAAGGCAGAGCAGCACCTGCCCTGCAACCCAGGGAGCACAGCTGATCTCCTAGGAAGTGGCACAGGAGCCACATCTACACAGCATCGAGTGCCTGTGCCTTGCTTCCTCTCACGCTCCTGTTCAAGGAAACCATATGTTAAGGAGTGTAACAGCGTTAGCAACTCTCACAACACATAATATAAACTTCCATTAATCAGGACTGTGATATGGCCACAAAATAAACAGTTTAGCAACGTTCTGCTGTGCGTGTCCTTTGATAGAGAACGGATTTTCCCTCTGCAAGGGCACGTCTGCTATCAAACTTCCAGAAATAAACAGTTTAGAAGAAAGATAAAACGCTTTCGCACATTTGCAAACCTACACGTGGTGTTCCCATCTCATAATTCTCCTGTTCTTTCATGCAGCTATATAAATATCTATAGCCTTTGCTTTGTTCCTGGACTCTTTCATCTTTCTCCAGCAAGTTCATTCAGTGTCAGCCACAACAAATGAATCCAGCAGCCCCACAGGTGGCAAAGGTGAGTAGAAAAACATGGAGATTCTTCCTTATTAATTACTTTCTATGCCTGATTTTCCCTTACTTTTAGAGGGGAAATGACAATATGAAAAGCACCATAATTAAAGGTCCTATTCAAACACCCCCCTCGGAATTCTCCATATCACACAGAATCACAGAATTGCTCGGTTGGAAAAGACCTCTGAGATCATCACATCCAACTGTTCCTGTCTGCCCCCTAAACCATATCCCTAAGTACCTCATCTACCCGCTTTTTAAATACATCCAGGGATGGTGACTCCACCACCTCCCTGGGCAGCCTGTTCCAGTTTCTGAAGATCCTCTCAGTAAAGAACTTCCTCCTTATCTCCAACCTGAACCTCCCTTGGCACAGCTTGGTGCCGTTTCCCCTTGTTCTATCCTCCATCACCTGGGAGAAGAGACCAGCACCCACCTCTCTACAACCTCCCTTTAGGTAGTTGTAGGTGGTGATGAGGTCTCCCCTCAGCCTTCTCTTCTCCAGGCTAAACAACCCCAGTTCCCTCAGCCGCTCCTCATAAGGCTTGTTCTCCAGAACCCTCACCATCCTTGTGGCTCTTCTCTGAACACGGGTAATTTAAAAGTCTCTTTTTTTTCCCCTGAAACAGTAACTCTCAACAAGTCTTGACGATGCAATAAAGCTCCTTGGGCTCCTTTGGCACATATGCCAGCCGCAGAGAGAACTCTGCTGGGAGGAAGGTGCTAGTGGTTTTGTCACAGAAAACCAGGTACTCACAGTCGTGGATGCACAGCGGGGTTTAATGAGAGTATCCAGGGAGTATAGATACTTTACTGCTTATGTTATTTTCAAGTTGTCTCCTCTGCTATTGAACACTTTCCTGGTACCAAATGGCCAGAAGCCAACGATTACTTTAGTTATTTACAGGACTGGGAGCCCACAGAACAAACTCCTCAGAATACTGCTAATCTAAGATGAAAGCTCTATTTGCAGGAGGGATTCAGATGGATATTTTCAAGCATTTGTTCTAACTGATCCAAAACATCTGGGAAACTTCCTGCCAAGGCCACTAATCTCCATGCAGTCATGACTAAACTCAAGGAACTAAAAAAAGCCGCTTTCAAAAGACGAGGAGCCAGCAAGTAAGTACTGGGGTGTGTAAATGCCAATAAATAAGTGCTGGAAGGTAAGGTCACGGTGCAACCCCTGCTCCGGGAGCGGATCTCCAGACCAGATCGCTTACTGGCAATCAGTCTTTCAGGAATCTCCCTCCCAGGTCGGCAGGATAAAACTCACACAGCACAGCTGGCTGTCCTCAGGCGCCTTCTTAAACAGCAAAGATGAGATTCTGGGGAGCGGGAAGTGTTGTCACAAGCAGCACAGGAAACAAAGCGATCCCTGGAAGAATTCCGTTTGGGAACTGCCAGGTTGTAACTCCCCCCGGATACAAAATGTACCAGGCTGCCGCAAAACTCGCTTTAGAAGCTTAGAAACAGGACTACATTTTTTTCTGGCTGCCAAAAGGACATAAATATTTTAGAGCATTGCTGGAAAAGAGAGAAACAAGTATGCAACAACCTCAAGTCATTAATCTATAAATAGTAATTCAATTATTTTTTAAGGAAATGTATAATTGCCCAAACAAAATAATTACTTTCCTGGACCTGTTTTGAAATTTGGGCTGTCAGACAGCATCCATACACATCCCTATGACACCCATTAAGGAGAGCATTGCAAGAGAGAGCGGAGAGGAGGGAGAGGTTTTGTAGCTGTAGAAGCCCCCTTAAAAGCCATCTCTGGCAACTCAGGACTCTTACAGCTGGTAGGACAGATCAGGAGCTAGAGCTGGGTGACTAACAGCTTTTATAATAAATCAATCCATTAATTTTATGACTTTACAATTATTTCACTGAGTGTTGCCGATCCCACTTATAGATCGAGAAGATTCATCGCATCTCTGTGGGCTGCAACGATCCCAGTGATATTAAGAAACTAAGAAGTTCCAGATTTTCTTTACCCTTTGACAACAGCAAAGGAGCACATAAGGAAAAAAGCCTTCTGCTACAGAAACAGTTAAAAACGTCCCAGGAATTGCACAGGACGCTGATTTTCATCTGACAGAGTGGCAGAACAAGGTATTCTTTTAAAACCCGCTCCACTTGCTTGACACATTGAAATAATTCCAAGTAGTTTTAAAATATACTGTTTGATGTTTCGCAACTTAGAAAAATCGCACATACTGTTGGGTTTTTGTTGTGGTCTTTTTTAAAAAAGTTACGGTAAAGTTGCTATTCCAGACAAACCACCAGACATAAAACCTTTCCTAAAAGAATCAGTGACTGAAGTAAAAACACCATTAAGAGTTAATGGCGCTAATTCTCTTTTCTATATTCAATCTCCCAGCTGTGAGTTCAACAAACACTTCAGTTTAACTTGATAAGCGTCTCCTTCAACCACGCTAACACTTAAAGGAAATTATTTTTTTCATTGCAATGGAAAAAACCTGCTCACAAAACACTTTTGCTTTGTCATTTTACAATGACTCAAACAAGCAGAGAGATTTAAGCCAGCAGTGTTGAGGTTTGTGAATCTGGAGAGCCACAACCACAGTTTTTTAAGTGGACAGTTGTGACTACAGACTTTATTTCCATCTTGTTGCACTGGCAGGTTTGGCAAGGCAGGAAGCTTCTGGCTGATAATCTCAGATGTTTGTGTTTCCAAATGTCTCTGCAATCTCAGATGTTTGTGTTTCCAAATGTCTCTGCCACTAAACCCTCCTGACATGGGGATTAGGGCATGAATAAGACAAAAAAAACTATCAATGACAAATGTCAAATGCGGGTGTAAGTTCAGACAGCAAACATAACCCACCTGACTTCCAGAGCTGCTGAACAGCTCCACAGTGCCATAACATTTGCACCTGCAAAAAATATTTCACATTAAAATCTGACATAAACTACGCACTGAGGAACAAGCCTGTTCTTAGACTATTGGAGTCTGTGAACGTGATCTGGTTTGGCTCAGGTGGAAAGGAAGCACAGGCGAGCAGGGGCAACTTGGTATCCTGAAGCCTTCTGCAAACTACAAACCCAATGTCCTTAGCTGGCTTGCCTTTCGGCACTGCAGAACCAAAAGGGTGGGCATTCTTGACACCCTGCTGTCCTAGGGACAACTGCTTTGAGGTGTGAATGAAGACACCATATTAACCATTGGCTGGGTGCCCACATCAGCTCACCTCTTTTTAAAACACTCAGTTGATCCTCACACAAAATTTTCTGGGCACACTGGCTTTCTACTGCTCAGCGACCTGATGAGGAGGCACATCTACCTCCATAGGAAAGCACTTCCTTTAAGGACACAGAAGTCTAAACATGTAAAATTTGAGCAACTCATTTCTAAACATGAATTATCTACCTAGATAATTCTAGAGATTTAATTATCCATTAGTCAAACTGTATCCCAAATCAGAATTCTCTCTTCAAAACCAGACACATTTGCTTCAAGTCTACCGGCATTTCCTTCATTAGTCTTGAACCCAGAATTGACTGATGCTGTATTTTAGAAATGGTAACAGGATCCTAAATGTCAAGCATACAGTGGAAACACTCTCCAATAAACTTCATGACTTCTCATTTTACAATGCTGACTTGTTAGAAATGAAACACTTCTAATCCAGTCACAATAATCTTAGAAGTACTTCCATGTTAGAGATCTCGACCTAGTAAACTTGGTTTTATTGTATCCAATCTGCTTGCAAATGACGCTTACTTTTGTAAACAGATTTCTGTCAACCTTTACAAAAAAGCACAGTGGCTAACAGCTTGTTAAACTGAATGACATCCCTAGGTTGGCTTCCAATGTCAATGAAAACTAAACCAAAAGGATCAAAACAAAGCACTCCACAAGGATCTTAATGTTATTTGTTATTATATAAAAGTACTTCCTTTAAACAATTTTTAGGAGGTCAACTCATTTTTAAAATAATATTTTGGAACTAGCTATGTTGAAATGCAAACAAGCACAGAAAAATTCATTAAATTTCACTGGATTAGCCTGGGAAAACTGATTTCTTATAAAATAAATTACGTTCTACAGACTGCACCATCTAAAAGAAAGGCAAAAATCAGGAAGAAAGTATAAAGACCACTCAAAACAAGACCAAATATCCTAGTGTATATTTACTAGATATATCATCTATGAAATAGCTTAATATGTCAATATTCAAATTACAAGTTTCTAATAAAATAATAAACTTCAACAGGATTGATTTAGTTCTTTGCAGAAACAAGTGCTGCTACAGTTACACAGAAGTGTAAACACTTATTGAAAACCTAAGGTTGAAACAGGCACCCGCTATAGAAGTGACAATTTCAGCTGTTGTCAGGATCTACTGCACACAACACAACTCCCCATTGCAAACAAGGGTATCAACCAAACAGCTTTAAGAGGCAAAAAGGTGTTTGCAGAGCTTCATCTTGGACCCCATTTGATGTCTTTTACACCATGAAATTGCCTTTTCAGAGCATTGTTGTCTGCCCACTCAGCATTTAGAAATGAGTCGTCGTCATCCTCTTCTAGTTTCTGTAAACAGAACCGAGAGGTTAAGGTGGCAGCAACATGCATAACCTGCGGTCAGTGCCTATGACAGCACAGCTCTCCTACAGCAAAATGACACTGTTACCTTAAGTTCCTCCTGCTTTCTGTGGCAGTACAGCATCATCTGTTTTTGCTCTTCATGACACATCAGTGGTTCACGCCCTGGAGCTCCTTGTCCTTTCTGAAAGGGAAATCATAAATTTTATTTATGATGGCATTTGGGATACAAAAGAGAAGCTGTTATTCAAAGATAGCAAAGTCTTTCTTCAGACAATAGGATTTCTCAAATTTAATAAGGTCCCTCAAGACAGGAAAACAGATCTTGAGAAACTTCTGCTGCATTCAAGTGAGAATTATTTTTTCATCTCAATATCTGACTCATGCTGTCAATTTTGTGGACATCAGTGGGAGCTGCAAACAGGACTGAGTCTATTTTACTTAAGCTTCCTCTCTAAAAGACATAATAAATCTCTCTGCTTTAAGGTCATTCTAGGTATCTCGGGATGGGCACATCCATCTTTAGCTCCCCTGCTAACACAGACTCAAGATGGCATAAGACTAAGTAAAGCAGGGAAGGCAGCCAGTTACAAAATACTACAAATAAAAGAAATTACAAATAAAAGAAAAACTCTAAAAGAAATTTTATTTGTTACTACAAATAAAAGCACTTCTATTTTACCAGGCAACTGTCCTCATGAAAGAAATTATGCACACAGCAGAAAACAGCTGATGACAGCTATTGTCAACAACAGCAAACAGACCAGTTTGAATGGAGATGGTGAATCCTCTCTGGAACAAAAAAGGTCTGAGGTGGTTTAAATTAGCTCTCCAACTCAAGAATGCAGGCATCCCTTGTCAGATACAAAATGACCGTACTACTTTGCATTCTCTGAGGAGGTCCAACAACTAATTAGACAGTAAGACAACTTTCCGGGGAGCCTACACTTCAATGGCTGTTGAGTTGTCACACAATTTTTCAGTTACCCTCATAGGAGAGGGAAAGCAATTCTGGTCTTCTAAATGACAGATACATAAAATGACTTGACTTATCTTTGAGTAATTCTATTACAGACACCTGCAGATAGTAAGATCTGCCATAAACACAAATGCTTTCTGTGGCAGAGAAGCTCTCACTGACATAGAAATGAAATGCAGCTCCAGAATAATTCTGAGCTATGGTAAGTACTCAGACATTTGACAAAAGCACCCTTTGAATGGGATTTTATAGATAGATACATACATACGTACACACACACACACACACACACGTAAACAGGGGGAGCATCTTATGACAAAGCTCTGAAAATGCACTGAAATACCAAACATGCTTCCTTTGAGCATTCTCACCAGAGATGAACACATCTGCACAGTTAGGACAAAATCATTTAGTCCAAAAAATAATGAAAAGTCCCAGTAGCTTGGTGCTAATTGTGATATTGCAAGAACATGATCATTGTGCCAGACATCAGTCCACACTTAATGACTGACTTTTGCTGAAGCCTGGGCTCTATAAACTGAGGAGCAGCAGGAGATCTTTGCCTCATTCTAGCTCATTATTCCAGAGGATGACTCAGACCTGTGTTCACAATTAACACAGGAGGCCTCATCTGCTTCAACACATCTGACGACTGGGAACTCTCATTTCTTTACAAAAAGTTCAGCTGGAAGCTTTAGGTGAGCTGCAGCTGACAGGACAATTCAGTGCAGGCCCAGCAGCTTGCTTTTTCTTCTAGCATGCAGCGAGCTTTCACTGAACACTTTAGGAGAGCATAAGTTCAGGCTCTTCCACAAGCTGCGTCCTCTCGGAGAAGAGACATAGCCACATTTCCAAGGCAACTGAGACCATTGGAGGCCCTGCCATCAAGAAACTCCGGACATCACAAGCCGGGAACTACTGAGTTACAGACACTGTCTTTCAGACACAGAACAGACTGAAACAGGGATGAGAGGTACCCACACCACGTAAGCACAAAACATCCATATTGGTTTTTAAAGGCCAGAATATAGTGAGAAAAACTTTCACAAGTACAATTAGAAAAACTAGGCAGACTGAATGACTGGGTCTGTTCAGTGCTCTGCACTGAGATGGAACTGAGAGCCAGCTGAGGTTTTTTAAACTTTTCAGTTTGCATTTCAACTATTTTCAAATATCTCTTTGTTGTACTTCAGAAAAATGCTATGGAGCAAGTAATAGTAACTACAGTATTTAACTGACAGGCAAAGGAATTACTTGAGGAAAAATCAAAATATAATAAATTAAAACCTTAAAATAGATGCAGTTTTAAGACACTCAAGCCAGAACTAATTTAATCCATTTCATATACCTATGGACAATTGTCTTCCACAGAGAATTAGACAGCCAAAGGTGAGTACCTTGAAAAGAAATCTCCCAATGGTACTTACTTTCTGTATCTTGACAATGATGGTTGTTTTCTCATTTTTGCCTACATAGTCAGAGAGCAACTTTGATTCTTTCAACTCCTTTCCTGCCCACCATAATTGTGCTTCTGATTCTGGTATAACTTCAAGTCCAGCCTGTGACAAACAAACAAACAAGGTAAAGTGTTGGCAGGTGTTGGCTTTTGCTTTTTTTCAAAATCAGATTTTTTTTCTCGGAAAATCTTTCTGCAATTCTTAACTGATAAGCCAAAGTAGTTCACCTGATTTTACACTATACTTTTCTATACTTTTGCTACATTTTTCTCCACATATTAATCTACAGCATTTTCATTCATATTCCATTTGATCTTGATCTAACAAACACTCTGGGCAACAAATTCACAATGCTGGCATTAGAAAGAAATGACAAACTATTTAAGATGGGCCCAAGACTTACCTGAACTCAACTTTGTAGGTAACATTTGAAATAAACTTCATTCATCTTATTTCTAGTTAAGTTATTGGTGTGCTTTTACATAAGCTATCAGACAAAAATATTAAACTAAATCTGTCATGCAAATGAAAGCAACCTTCATTTATAAAATGGAGAACAGTATAGCACATATTTAACCCAGGCACTACATATAATCCAAATATATCACTGCATACATGAGTTCCTGATAAGTCTTCTTTATCTTCAAACTCCAGCCTAATTGGATCATGTGGAGGCAATCCCATTGGATACACGATCATCACAGCCCCTCGGAGCTGGTCCAGTGCATCTTTCACCGTCTCCATATAAACACACACATTGGCCTGAACTTGTTTCTGAAACACAGGCAAGGATGACTGGTAACTTAAAAAAATATGCAGAAAGACTTTGCTTTGTAGTCAGTTCAAGGTTTAAACAGTGGGATACTTGAGCAAAGCTAACTGAGTGCACAAAGATACTAAGAGCACAATTTTTCTCAATTGAATATCGACTTCTGAATACATCACTATACTTCTTCCCCTCTCAGACTGAGGGCGGTGTGTGGAGGGAAGAGATCTTCACTAAATTGTGCAGGGCACATTTAGTAACAATTGTCTGTGGGATACAGGCATTCAAACAAGTCTGCATATGACCACAAAAACTGGATGCGAGTCTTCTGTCCCAACTACTTGTGATTCATGAACAAGATTCAAAACAGTAACATTCAAGTGAGGGCTAGAGAAAGAGTCTAAAACTTGAGGAAAAAACAGAGCACACATGAACACAAGAGTAAAGCTTGGCATATTGCATGGCTTATGCAGAGATCTGTAAGATCAAACACTTGAGATCATTCCAAACCCTACTGCAATGGACAGAGGAAAAACAAGAGACATCTGGAAGAGACGAAAAAGGTTTTGCTTACAGATTTGACAGTTCCAACATTTAAAGTAATAAGTTCTATAAAAAAGAGAGTAAGAGAATGTTGCCTCCTTGTGGACATTCTTAAACTAGTTAACTGGCAAGTACAACTGCTTTCTCAATCTCAGATAATTAACTTTTTTTTTTAATACACAGGCATATTTCTTCATTTTCATCATTACAAAGTGGTGAACCTAACAAACCACTTCAGAAACTACCCTTAACTTCATTCACCAGTGAATGACAGTGATTTCTGGCATAAGTCAGCATGCAGTGCAGCAGTTCTGCAACTTTTTATTGTAAATGACAACACGGTATATAATTGGAAGTTTCACCCAGGAAGATCTGAAAAGTGGAGACCAGATCTGCAGATATTTTTGCCTCAAGAAGTAAAATTACTCATTTTCTCCCTGTTTAGAAACAGAGTTGATAAGATGCTATCCAACAGAAAAAAAAGTCTATCTGGAGAAAATCTTTATAGTTCAGAAGCTTTAATCTGAAACATCTCATAGATTTTGCTATGACTCAGAACAGTTTGGCTGAAATCCTGCCTCAATTCAGGAAAGGTCTGCTGCAACTCAGTGCACTGGTAGTGCTGCCAGGCGACAAGGCAGCTCCTCTGCTTGCCTCCACAAGGCCTTTGGAAACACTGGGCTACTCACTCTAAATCACTGATAGGACAATGTTATCAGCAATAAAATAGCCAAGAAGGCCAATTTAAGTGCACAGGCAATACTAAAAATTCAGTAACATTATCTATTTGCATAACTGGTTTAAAGCTGCTCTAAAGCTCCACACATACCAATTCCCAGAATTGTAGGAGAGGGGAGAAGAAAATTACTTGCAGATGTTTACAAAAAAGCAATCTGATAATAAATGCTACTTCATTTGTGTTTCAAAGTCACATGAAAGCTGAGGCACAATACAGAGCATCTACAGATCTGGTAAAGTGAGGTTGAATACTTAAGCCCATAGTGCCATCAGGGCATACCCTCACACTTATCTTTAAACACACACAACTCATTGGGACTGAGCATGAGTACAAGTATTTGTAAGGACTAATCTAAGAGATTAGAACATATTTTTCAATTAATTATACATAAGACTCAAAAGACTACATTAACGAGCAAAAGGTATTTTATTCCAGGAACATCACAGAACGCAGTTAATATTTCACCAGAAAACATGACAAGCGTTCGCCTAAAGAATACATCAATAGCAAATTAAGAGCATGTGGATAAAATTAAATGTGATTTAATCATTCAGTGTGGTTTCGGCTGCCAGCATTCACTTGGAGTTTAATATCTGATTCCTTAACTTGTTGAACCAGCTTGCCAAAAGCCATTAAGAAAATCATTAACAGAAATGTCAGTTTTTATTAGACTATTCACATCACTTCAGGATATTACTCAAAAATTGTCAGCACTCACTCTGAAAAAAGTCTGTTTTTTCTTAAGCAGCCCAACTGCATAACATCTAGTAAGAAAGCCCCACATACCACATGCTACTTCAGGAAACTTACCTTGGAGATTAATGCCTTGGCTTCCTCTATTGTCTTCTTTATAACTTGCTGCATTTTTTCATTTGGAGCTAAAAATAAGAGACACATATTTAATAGTCTACATTTACTATAAAGAAACCAAGCAAATGACCTGTCCAGGTTATTGTCTACTGTAAGCAAATGAAACATTGTTAAATCACAAAGCAAGAGAGACACTACTAAGTTGCAGTCTATTGTACCAGTTTGATAGTTCACTGCTGTATTTCTTACTAACTTAAGAAACAAAGCAGTATTTCTTCTGGAAGAGCCAAACTTACTTTCCCACAAAGACATTTGACTGGTATTTGGAACTTATTTGGGACAAAAGTACTGAGTAGAAAGCAACAGCCGTAATTTCATACTCGCCACAACCAAAAACAAGCCTCTCTTTCCCATGCTGTACTTATTACTATCGTGGGCTGTGCTGGCAGATGTTCATAAAAGGGGAGAAGAACTTGGAATTTTCTGACTTTTTTCCAATTAAAATTTCAATCTGACAGCAAATGCAGTTTTGTGAATACAATGTGCATTTCATACTATAGTTATCTACTTTAACTGTTTTAAAAAGCCTCTCCTCAAAACCAAAAATCCAATTAAATCATATGCATTCACAGCTGAACATTTAAATGCATCATTCAATGGTATTTAATTTGGCCCACATTTACATGCTGTTCAATATTACAACTTTGTTAACTTCACAAAGCAGTCGTCTAGCTAACAAATAAATGCCCGAGTACAACTACAAGTAAAAATGGTTCTGTCCTTTCGATGAAGTTGCTTGCAAATTTTTACTGTAAGGGCTAGCGCTGCTCACAGCCATGCCAAACAAGACAGGTTTTGTCCACAGGTCTATGTATGAGACACTCAGCTATTTCTGAGAACGCTGCTAGGAGGGAAATCTGTTTAGCTATAATATAAGCTCATAATCAAGTTCAGCAAGGGCTTAAATTCGATTTGGCTATGCGCTGTGTTAGAAGAATAATGTTCCCCAAAATAAGACACTTGGAGTAAGGTGTTTGTGTACGACAAGACTAAGTTATTCAAAGATTCCTCCTTAGCTGAGCTGCCCTGCAGTCAGCGTCTAAAGGGCTGCTGACCCTTAAGGGCTGTGGTGGTGTCAGGAGTACAGGGACAGACAGCAAGAATACAATTGCGGTCTCTCTTCTGTGCAATCAGCCCTCACGCTCTCGACTCTAAAGTGGGATATCCATGCCAAGTGCTATGGCAAAACCGCTTGGCTGCAGTTGCAGAAGGAAAAAGTGACAGGAGCGAGTTCAGTAAGTCTGAGTCATAGTGGACCAGGAAAAATATTACAAAAACAACCTGTTAATGTATCTTGGAGCCTCTGGAGAAAACCAGTACACATGTATGCATTTACAAATGAGGAGAATAAATTAAAGTGAAAGAGTCAAGCTTGCTTCTGATAATTGGTTACTTATCTTCGGAGTTTACTTCCAAGTGCTACAGTTGTGAAGTTAAATAACATATGCGCTGAAGAGATATACTACTACTTAGGTTTTTACATCAACATTACACCAGGCCCTAATCCAAGACAGAAGACTTAGCATGTAACTGATATTTTAGCTCTTGAAATAGCTACTACGACTACCTCTAATATAGTTTATTTATAAGACTATTTTAGTAACTGGCAAATAAAAATTAACCAGCTAATATGTTGGCCCAAAATATGTATACTTAGTATCTACTCATTTTTGTTCATCTTTCAGGACAGTGAGGTATAAGCAAAAGTTCCAGAATTATGGTTTTTATGTTCCTCATTGTATTGTAGATTATCTGTGTTTGCAGGGAAAGAAACAAACATTTATGATTGATTTACCATGTCCATTTCTTCGCCCAATTTTATCCTTCTTGAAGACACTTCCACCACTTGGTACACACTTTTCTGCCCACTCATCCTTTAACTTCAGTTCTTCGATTTGCTCATCTGTCAGTCCGTGCATATTATAAGGCAAGAAAACACCATGCTCTGCCAGATCCTCCATCTCTTTAAAGTGTTGAGAGAACAAGATTAAAAATCTGTGTTACTGAGAACATATTATTTACAAAAACCCTTTCACATTATGTACACACAGGCAAAACCTACTCCTAGCCTTCAGTACCTAAGGAGCTACGTATATGGAATAAATAATAAGGTATATATAAATATATATACTCAAATATTTAGTTATATGTGCTGTAATTACATCATAATTCATACATTTCACATATATATGAAACAATGTAACAAATAACACAGTGCTGGTATGCAAACCTAGACAATATTTGCTGGCCATAAACTTTTTCTTTTTGCTATTTCCTTAGTCATCTTTAGCTGACTGCGTATTCCTTTTTCTAAGTACTTTTGGGAAAGCAACTTCTTTTGAAATTGAAAAACACTTTATTGTCATACAGTAATTAATTTCTTTGCAGTTCAGAAAGCATGTAACTGGACTATCTACACAACATCCAACCCAAGGGGTCAAATTCACACCCAGAATGAAATAAAGAGTGTCTACTACAATTTATGTCTAACCAAGGAAAGTCAGTACAGGGCAATCCTAGCTGAGACAACAGAGGTGGTGTAAACTCTGGTTACCAGGGCAGTCTCATGCAGTGAGAGCAGAGAGTGTGCAGATGCAATTTCCTAACCCTTCTGTCCAGCCTACCACATCTGACCCACAGCCTGCAAGCTACACTCACTGCCTTCCCGCAGAACAATTTATACAGCACTCAGCCTGCTTCACAGCATCCTTTCCTTGAAGGCCCTCAAGCCTCTTTACCATCACCATATTAATTAAAGCATACCCATCTTGCAACAGACAGAGACAAATGAAATAAATGGCAATTCTGTTCCTATGGCTGGGAATATAGGCACACACAGGAAAACATAAAGCCTAAGGCTAAATCAGCAAGTACTATGCAGCAACAGCAGCAGACCTGTAGAAAGAGGGAGTGCTGAAAATATGGTAGCCACAGTGTTCAGCTTTTGGAATTTTTAAAATTCAGATTAGCCTCAGTACAGCCTCATACACCACATACATATTTGCAGCCAGACCACATCAGGTGTAGACAGGCTGCATCCTTCAGGCCAGTCTCATCTGAAGGGAATCCCACTTCATGCATTCCCAGGCTGATTCACAACGCAAACCAAAGTGTGGTCAGCAGGGACAAACAGTAAATACTTTCCAAAAGCCAACTGCCGAATTGAACTAAAGCACTAATTTAGACCCATCCAGCGACTCTCCATCACATGGCAAGTGGATGCCTCGCACCACACATGAAAATTTCATTCACGTGTAGGGTACGCTGCTGGGCACAGACAACTGATGCAGCCACTATGGGACAGGATGTGCTGCAGTTTAGTCATGAGCTTTCAGCCACGTACAGCAGGAAGCTCAGAGCTGTATGGTGTCCAAAAAGTAGGGACTACTGAAATAACAGAAGGTGGGAATTCACACATGGTTTGGCGTTTTTGGTGGGTATTCACTGTCCTCGTAAATTTAGGGGAGGACGACTTGTCTGCTGCTAAGCTGGGATTTGAGAGGTGTTTCTTAACCCCAGCCAGTGTAAAACTCTTGTAAGGCCGCAGCCAAGCAACCTCGCCGTGCCACCCCTCAGCTCCCAGGCTGCGAGCCAGCGGGGTACACACTCAGAAGCCGGGCTCCCATCCTTTCGAAAGTCACCCGTCTCCCCTCCTCAGAGCTCCGCACTCATCGGAGGTGCGGCCAGGCCCGGGGCAGGCGGTGAGCCCGCTACCGGGGAGAGGGAGAAGGGCGGCGGGCCAGTACCTGTGCAGAGGCGCTGCACCTTCAGCCTCCCGTTGTAGATGCGGGCGACGAGGGGCACCAGGTCGGCCAGGCGGGCGCTGCCGCCCACCTCCAGCAGGAACTGGCTCTCGT